ACTGTTTGTGGAAGAACGTCTTCAACAGTGGAAGATCACCTGAGGAGTTCCAAGATCGTCTTCTACAGCGGAAGATCGTCCTCAACAGTCGATGATCGTCGGTCAAGATGCAAGATCGTCGTCATAGTCGTCGGTCTGTGGAGACTGTTTGTGGAAGAACGTCTTCAACAGTGGAAGATCGCCTTCTTCAGTGGACGATCTTTTTCTTCAGTTCAAGATCGTCATCGTCAAGGAGTCCGGTATACGGCGGCGAAAGTACTAACGGCCGTCATTCGGGGTCGATGATTTCAGCAATGTAACATCGACGTCGAACACACCGGCATCCGTCCTCTCGAGGTTAAAATCCATTTTTTGTGGTTTAACCTGGGGAGGGCGGCATCCTCCCTTTTCAGATCTATATTCCCGGCGTGGTATGATCTGAGGAGGGAGAAGCGTACGTTCTGCTACCTCCTTAGCATTTTGTGTTTTTCAACACATGTATGCTGGGGGGGTGTCACGGTAGCATGAACGGGCGCTAAATACTGAGAATCATTCCATTTCACGATGGTTTGAGGAGGGCTAGGGTATACCCCAGGGTGTACCTGAATCGTTGGCGGAGCCCCTCTAGAGCTCCGCCTCAACACGTGTTTTGGGTGATCGCTCACTGTTAACACGGCCAATCTCGGAAGAGGAACTTTGACCCACATCGCTAAGCAGCAACCAGTTGTGAGTCAATGCAGGAGGTAGACCCCCCTTGCTAGTCCCTCCTTGATTAGTCCCCCCTTGTTAGTCCCCCCTTGACTTAAATGGTAAGAGACCATGAACCTGACCATGAAATGGATGAACCTGACCATGAAATGGAAGAAACTAAATGAACCCTAGCCAGTGCTTGTCACGCTAACACATGAGTGAGCTACCTTAAGCAATAGCGTTATAACCACTGTGACAGAACAACACGCCGCTTTTTCAACATTCAAGATAATTCCCCCATAAATCGCGATACTGCAAATCTTCGCGGAGATATATTGTGAGCAAATCTTGGGGTCAACATGCCAAAATATAATTGCAAGATTAAGTTTCCATAAAGAAGGGTCTAGGCCGAGTCTTACGTCGTCATGATTATTTCGGAGATTTTTTTTTGCTTTCGGTGGGGGGGGAGTGGTCTGCAAGGGAAAAACTATCTGGATCCAAACGACCTTCTTACGGTTCCTCGAGACAGATTTTTTTCTCAGGGAAAAATCGGGCCGATTCAAGTCTTTTTGGGTCACAACATGCTTCAGTTCACGGTTGTTTTGGCTCGTGTGCGACCAACAAGACACCGAGTGCTCTGTTTTTGGGTCGCCTCCAGAGGGCATGTGTATAATAATCGGACGCCAGTGACTGCAGTTTGTGGATGTCGTCGGCCAAAGGCCTCTCTCCGGCATGCGTTGTGGATGGATCACGCTCGGAGCAACCAGAAAGAAAAAAGGCAACGTTCAAACAAGTCAACATCGCAACACACACACACTCGGTTCACGTTTGTTTACAGGCCGTGTGCAATCAAAACTGGACAATAATACGCTCTGCTTCTGGGACACGAGCAGAGCGATTGTGTATGTATGATCACACACTCCATTGGCAGTAGTAGTTTGTGGATGTCATTAGCCGAAAGCCTCTCTCTGGCATGCATGTGTTGTTGTGGACTGGTAGCGGGTGACACACGGAGCAAACACGCGGCGGAACAAGAAAAAAGTCCAAAAAGTCAACACCGGAACGCACTTCGGTTCACGTTTGTTTACATACAGGCAGTGTGCAATCAATACTGGACAACAATATGATCTGTTTCTTCTGTGGTACGCGAGCAGAGGGTAAGCATATGATCACACGCCACTGGCTGCAGTTTGTTGTGGATGTCGACGGCGTAAAGCCTCTCTCTGGCGTGTGTTGTTTTGACTGTGGGCGGGGGACCCTAAGAAACAGCCAGACTCAGCCAGTTTACATCCTCACAGTTTCTTGCAAGCAAGAACGAAGGGCGATAAAAAAAGAGAGACCGCCAGCGACAGGAAACAAAGAAGTAGAGGAGAGCAGAGCTAAGAAACAAGTGAAGAAACAAGGCCCCCTTGCCGCTCTGACCCACCGGAAGCTTTCCATGTACCGCAGCAAACAGCAGGGGCAGCACCCACTATACCTCACAATATGCAGTACCCGGGTACACGGACTGGTACGTATTGTAGTAGAAGTTTGGTCTCTCTCTCCGGTAAGAACAATGACGCCTGGGCAAACTTGAACTTGTAGTCACAAGAAATAGCGTCATGATGACGTACTTCATTCTGCTTGCAGTGGGAGATGCGCATCGTTACGCGAGGAAGGCGTTAACTCCTCGCACAGAATATTATGCTGCCGTAGACCCTATCCCTCAAGCTCAACCACAGCTGTACCCGATACATGGTAGCATCATATATCCAGCTGTAGAAGAATCGAAAAAAAAGTGTCTTCTTGGTGGCGAAGCGGACCCTCTTTATTGCGACTCTCCAACTGCTTGCTGTTCGTGGATGGCCACATGGCGACACAGACAGACAATAATTAGGGCTTGACGTCGGTCTTATCCACCGCAGGTTGTTGAAGCTATACTCAAAGTCGGGGAGGGGTCGGTCGTGATTTGCAATTCCCTACGGAACCGCACTTGAGGCGCCATGAAATTTGCACTGCAGTAGCCGAGGTTGTTAGTCGGCAGGGAAACACAAAAAACAATTCATGGGTGGGTTGGGTGAGTGGGGGACCCCAAAACAATGAAACAGTCGCGGTTCGCGTTGTTCTGGGGCCCTACCGGCGAAAAACATCGTCGCCGCTCTGAACCGCTGGAAGCTGTCACACAGCACTGCATGTGCGGCGAACCGTAGGGGCCATGCGCATTGCTTGACGGAAAGAGGCGGCGCCCATCGCCTCACATGCAGCAACCGGGTACACGGGTAGCCTCCTACTCAGCAAGATGCAAAACGATTGCCATTGACGTTCGATGTTATTGGGACCCTAACGGCAAAAATGCAACAGAGAGAGAGAGAGGTAGACTAAAGGAAGGGAGACTCGAGAAGACAAGGCTTTTAAACTCTAGAGAAGACACCCACTCTCATCCCTCTGGCCCACCGCAGGCTTGAACACGTGTAACGAACGGCGACATCCGATGTGCGCTCAGCAACATTGCCACAAACACGACAAAAGAAAAATAGTCTAGTCGTCGTTTCCGAACTGCTGTGGAGATACTGCAAGGTGGTGGAGACTTTCTTTCTTTTCTGGTATGAAGTGGCAACAAAGAAGAACACGACTATGTGTGTAGACTAGAAGCACGACGGACGAACTATTATCTCAATGCGCTTGCCGTCGCGATAGATGCGCACCGCTACCGCTATACGAACGAGCAGACTGTTGTCAAACCTGCCTACGATAACCGTACGACCATTGCAGCACATTCCGAGCATAACAGCAGCAACCGCAGCAGCAGCCGCATGTGTACAACGGTCACTCAAGAACAAACGCAAAAAAAAAAAAGATTGTGGCGCGCAGCACGCAGGACCCTCTTTCGCTGTTTCAACCGGCCGTTCCCATGGCGAAACAGGGCAAGGAACAGTCAAGGTCGACTCTTGCCGGCCACAGGAGGCGGAAGCTGCTCAAACTCGGGGACGGCTCATGGTTTGCGATTCCACACCGAACCATACTCGAGGCGCCCCGAGATTTACACTGTAGCTCGAGATCGGCATTTATTTGAGACAGGGTCGGGCAAGGAGGGGTGGGCTTTGCGAATAAAAGTTCCACGGATGGATATTGAAAGATGAGACTGAAGCTAAAGCTTCAGAACTGTGCAGTAGCCTTCGCATGGTTTTTCGTACTTCATGTGAACATGTGAACATTTCGGATTGGGGGGAAGTTGGGTTAGGGAAGGGTCTGCATCAGCTGGTCTGCATCCATCCCCTCCTGTTCTACAGCGTATTTCCTCGTGAACCTATTCATCGCGCGAAGGCGGTCCAATCCACGTTAGTACCCCTTAACGATGCACAAGACTGATGTATGTTCTGCTTCCAACACGGGACTCCGGTGTGTGCTCGAAGGTGAGTCCATTTTCTTTTACCGTATAGACTACGCAGCGACACTAAACACGATGCAACAATGAAGAAGCCACCTCAGACACACGGATCTTGGCATTTCGATGTTCTGTTTTCAGCCGCACTGAGACTGGCGTCTTTTCATTGGCAAGATTCTCGAGCAAGGACAGACAACAGCTAGCTGTAAACAACTAGGACCCTCGGCGCAAGGCCAACCTGCTCTCAACACGACCAACATACTACATGTCGCGCCGGAAACGAATCTCCCGCCACGGCAGCAAACGATAGCTGTTTTTGAGACGATGTATGAGGGGAGGAGGGTCACGCGGAAAAACAACGTATAGTTGGCTGAGAGAGAGACTCAAGAAAAAGAATTACAAACGCACATGCATACTGCAACTCGATTGTGGCTGGCTCCGACGGTTACAGAACAGACACCATTCCGAGAACTTCAGAGTTTTGGAATATTTGAAGGAACTTGGCAGCGTGGGACCCAAAAATTGCCTACATGCATGCAGCAGCAAAAAACGAGTCCAACGGTTTTAATTGGTGAAAAAAATACGGACAAAGCCAGGAGTAACACAGGTGTGGAGATGACGAAACTACTGCTGTGTCAATGTGCACACAACATGAGATGTCGCTCAGCACAGCTTTCGGATTAGCGTGCAGGACCATCATGACGTCCCAAGCAACTCAACCGTGTACTCCGCTGCGATAATTCCGAAAAAAATTACCACATGAAACGTGCCCCACCAAAACGGAACCATGCGTTCACCGCAGCATGCGCAAGAAAAGAGTGGGACTCAGAACATCCCAACCGTGTAAAAGAAGAGAAATAGGACGTTGCTTTGCGCTCCCCCGCCGGCAGGAGCCATCTACTCAAAAATATTTCTTAATAGGACCGTAAGCGATTTCCCAAGAAGCAGGGCATTGCGAATGAACCCAACACAAGCCCCCCCCCCCCACACCTGACACGTGCCACTGACAAGAGTCTGGAAAGAGTATCCTGCGTCTCACAAACCGCCCGTGTTCAGAGATGCCCGCTTCTACCCCTCCGCCGTCTGAAATCTCGAATCTGTCGCCAAGCTGGCACCACTATTTACTATGCATTTGATTCACACGCTAGATCGTCTTCTTTGGTTCATGACTAATTAGTTGTCGCTCTCCTCTCCCCCGTCCGCGTCCGCAGCTTGTTCATCATCGTCACCGTTTTCCTCGTCCACAGCGTCTTCTTCCTCCTCCTCTTGCTCCTCCGCGTCGCCGCCGCTGCCGCCCTCCTCTTCGTCGCCGTGGCCGCCATCGGCGTTCCCGTTGCCATTCTCAACCTCGGCCGCCGTGCCATTCTCATCGCCGCCCGTGGCGTCACCGTTCTCTTCGCTGTCCTCCGCCCCGTCCACCGCCTCGTCTCCCTCGGCACCGGCGGTTTTACCCTTGCTCCGCTTCGGAGACTGGGACCTATCCTCCTTGGAGCCGCTCCTCTTCTTGCCTCGCGCAGCTACGTCGCCAGAACCGCCGTTGCTGGCGCCGTTCTCGTTGTCGTCTTCTCCGCCCCGGTTCCGGCGCCCGCCGCCGCGGCCACCGCTCCGGCTCCTGCTGCGGCTCCTGCTTCGGCTCCCGCTCCTGCTCCTGCTCCGCGAGCCACCACGGCCAGCACGGGCGCTGCTGCCGTTGCGGCTGCCACGCTCGCGCGACCTCCTGGGGGAGGGGGAGCGGCCGCCGCCGCCGCGGGCACTTCCCCTGTCATCACGGGGGGAGCGCGAGCGGCGGCGGTCCCGGCTGCGGCTGCGGTCCCTGCTGCGGCTGCGGCGGTCTCGGCTGTCGCCTCTGCCGCTCTTCGGGCTGCGGCCGTGGTCGCGGGAGTCCCGGCCGTATTCCCGCCCCCCGCGGTCGCGGTCCCGGCGTGGGGAGCGCGAGCGGCTATCG